CTCCCTGGGAGACCCCGCCGCTGACCTGCTCTCTGGTTCCGCCCAGCGGGACGCGGACGCTGGTTGTTGGCCAATAGGGGGCGCCGCGGATAACTACGGCCCTTCAGCCGGGAACTTGCTGAGGCAGTGCCGCCCGCAGAGCTTCGGGCCGCCGAGGACGCGTCCTCACAAGTAAGTGCCCTGGCCTTGGCCGCCCTTAGCCTGCCCGCGGCATGGCCGCCGCCGCGTGAGCTCCGGGCCTCCGTCCTGTCTGTACCATGGGCACATGGCGGCCAGACCGCGTGTGGTGCGCGGGGCTAGGGCCCGGGCCTGCTCTGCGACCGCACCGCTGTGGTGGTGCCGGCAGTCAGTTGATGAAGCGATAGGCTATGGCGATTCGTTTAATGCATTGCGGATCTCAATTCCCGTCCATTTAATGCTTCTAGCTCTGTGGATTGAAGTTATCGTCCATTTAATGCTTTCCAGTTTGTGGATCTAATTTATGGTCGGTTTCATGCATCTATGTCTGTGGATCTAAATTCCCGTTAATTTTGCTTTGTGGATCCAAATTACCGTCGATTTAATGTTTTTAAATTGGTGGCTCTAAATTACCATAAATTCAATGCATCTGTCGCACACGGTGGCCCGATCTCATTGGCTCGATGTGGACTCCGCCAGGAATTTGCGGGGTGCTCTGGGAATCTGCACCCCCCAGGCCTGGGAAGTGGGGCCCAGCCCCGCCTGAGACGCCGTCACAAGCAGGGATGAATGAGGGGCACATTGGGGGTACAGGGCGGTGCGCAGTGCCCTGAGGGAGGGTCTGTCTCCCGGGTGGGCCCCTGAGTCCGCCATTGGGAGACGCACGCTCAGGTGGCCGTGCGGGGACGGAACGCATGGAGGGGACCCTTGGCTCTTTCCTCAGCAGGATCTGCCTCGTAACCGCTGTGATAGAGCACAGACCCCTTGTTTCTGAACACCATCTCGGTTCTCTTGCTCAGACGTGGGTGGAAGTGGGGGGGCTGAGACCATCGAGGCCTGGGACATCTGCTGGTTACCAGCCCTGAAGCCCCTTGGAGCAGGCCCAGGGAGGAAGGAAGACCATTCAGGTAAGACGAGCCCTGAAGGAGCAGACCAACAAATGTGGGCCACGGGACAGAATACTGGGCGGTCAGAAAGGCTTGGTACGCAACACGCTGGACCTGGAAAACACGACGTGGAGCGAAATCACACAGTCACACAGTCGCCAAAGAGAGAGACTGTATAGTCCCACTTACATGAAATAACCAGACCAGCAAACCTACGGAGAGCACACTTCAGTAGTGGTTACCAGGGAGGGCGGGGCAGAGAAGGCGGGTGCCAAGGTTCAGGAAGCCGTCAGTTATTATTTTAGGCACCTTTTCTGGTCTCATGTGGTTGGTTGATCTAAGGAGTGCATACCTCCGTGGTGTTGCCGGTCCCTCCTGGCCTGTCTCTGTTGGCTGAGAGTTGAGCCCCGGGGCTGAGTTCACTTCAGGTCTGATGGACGACTGAGGGCCACAATCTTGGGGGTTCCACCAGTCTCCATCAGACCAGTCAGCCTGGTCTTCTTTGTGATTTTGAGTTTTGTTCCACATTTTTCTCCCACTCGATTGGGAGAATCATCCTGTCGAAACAGCCAGCAGTGGTAGCCGGGGAACCATCTAGTTCTTCGGGTCTCAGGGTTGGGGAGGCTGGGGTTCGTGTGGTCCACTAGTCCTTGGCACTCATTGTTGCCTTGCATCTTTAACTTGTTTAACTCTTCTTTGCTCTACACAAGAAGACACCAAAAGTGGCATCTTAGATAGCTGCCAAAGGATTGGGGAAAAAGTGACATATCCTACAAGGGTCTTAGCTCTAAAATTCATAGAAAACTCTAACTTCTCATTTGAATATTAAAGATCAGTGCTCAGTGACATCCCCTTAACTTCTCCCAGATGGGTTATTTTTAGGAACACAGCCTATGCTGGGCTTAAGGGCACTCCCATCCCCATCATTTAAGGTCCTTGAGTGCCTGTCAGAAGTGGTTCCCTAAAAAGGGTGGGCCTTCAGGCTGTGTCCTGGGTCCTTCTCAGGGAAGCCTGGATTCCATGGAGCAGTGGGTGGGAAGGGAACAGGGCCCAGGGCATCGAGTGAGCCCAGCCCTGGTGGGTGTATGTGAGGCGGACCTGTGACCTCCGAGCACACAGTAGGGAATTAAGTCAACTGTTGTTATGTGCCGCTGAGTCGGACCCGACTCATAGCAACATCAACTCATAGTGATCCCTCCTTGGTTTTCCAAGACATTATCACGATAGAAGTAGATTGCCCAACCTTCCTTCCGAGGAGTGGCTGGTGGGTTTGAACCGCCAGCCTTCTGGTGAGCAGTCAAGTGCCTTAGGCACTGCGCCCCCTGATACCCGGGCCCTCTGAAGGGGGAGGAGGAGACAGGCTGTCTGTGCCTGGCCTGAGCAGGGCCTCTTGCTCCCTGACAGCCCCACAGACTCTTCGCTGGAGCCAGTCATCAGCATGAGCAGCTTGGTCCCCCCAAGACTTCTGGACCTGGCAGGGCGGAGCCTGGTGAGGGCGGAGGCTGTAGCCATCGCTGCTGTGGACCTGTTGCCCGTGGAGCTCTTCCCGCCGCTGCTGAAGGCTGCAGTCGATGGCAGGCACCGGGGCGTACTGCGGGCCCTGGTGCAGGCCTGGCCCCTGCCCCTGCTTCCTCTCGGGGCCCTGGTGAGGGAGCAGCAGTGCCACCAGGCCACCCTCCTAATGGCGGCGCTCAGTGGGCTCGAGGCCTTGCTTGCCGAGAAGGTCCGCCCCAGGTGAGGGCGTCGTGAGCTCGGAAGCCCTGGGCATCGGGGCGCTCGGCGGGCTCAAGGGGGCTGGTCAGAGAGCCTGGGAGACCTGGGGGGACCCTTGGGAAGTGTAGGGCTGATTGGGACCCAGGGGTGTGGACAGACATACCAGCTCCCTCCCGTGGTACTGAGAGGTATGAGAAGTTAGGACCAAGAATGGCGCCCAGGGTGTGGATGGAGGGCAGTGGGTGTTGAGTCGGTTCAGGCTCCTGGTGACCACCCGCCATGGGTGTCAGAGAAGGACTGGGACCTTTCAGAAATAGAGTGCCAGGCTTTTGCCCGGAGGCACTTCCAGGTGGGGCTCAAGCGTGCCACCTCATGGTTGGCTTCCACACGTGTTAACCATCTGCACCACCCGGGGGCTCCCCAAGGGGAAAGGGGAGGCAGAGAGGGAAGGGGTCGGGAAGGCAACGGCAGGGGTGTGGGCTCAGCACTCAGGCCAGACGCCTGGTCCTGGCCTAGATCCTGAGACAGCCTCCTGTGTGTCAGTAGAGCTCGGCTCGGTAGAGTTTTCCGTGGCTGGGGCCTTTCAGGAGGAGATTGCCAGGCCGTTGTGCCGAGCCACCTCTGCTGGGGCTTGCACCTGCCGCTTGACAGTTAGCAGCTGAGTGTGTTAAGGGGTTTCACCCACCTGTGAGCTGACCTTAACGTGTCTCGGGCATTTGCCTGTTTTCCCCACAGGAGATGTAAACTGCAAGTGCTCGACTTACGGGCGGATTGTCATCAGGACTTCTGGGCCACATGGGCCGGGGTCTCGGTGACCAGGCCCCTGCTGGAGCTAGAGGCAGAGCTGCCTGTGGTCAAGAGGCAGAGAGTGGAGGGTCCTGGGCCAGGGGCCAGGTGGTTCCGGGCTCCGGTGGAGGTGCTGATGAACGTCCGTCTGGACATAGCCGTCCCAGACCAGTTCCTCACCGCCCTCCTCGAGAAGGTCAGGTGGGGCCGGGGCTTGCTGCGCCTGTGTTGCAAGAAGGTGCAGGTGGTTTCGATGCCGGTGCCCATCGTGGAGCGGGTCCTCAAGACGGTGCAGCTGCACTCCATCCAGAACCTGGAGATGAACTGCACCTGGCCGCTGGTCACGCTCAGCCGCTTCGCCCCGTTCCTGGGCCAGATGGTGAACCTGCGCAGGTTCCTGCTCTGCCACCTGCAGGTGCTGCCGTCCCGCCCTCTCCGCGCCAGGGAGGAGCCCTATGTCTACCGGTTCGCCTCCCAGTTCATCGGCCTCCAGCGCCTCCGCGAGCTCCGGTTCGACTGCATCTCTTTCCTGGAAGGTCGCCTGCAGCAGGTGCTCAGGTGAGCGGCCGCTGCTGTGTCCCCCTGCAAAGGTGGGAGTGGACACAGGCACAGATGTTACAAGGAGGGATACCACACTTGTCGTTGTCGTTGTCATTGTTATGTGCCGTTGAGTCGGCCCCGACTCATAGCGACCCCTCCTTGGGTTTCCGAGGCAGTATTACTGTGGGAGTAGATTGCCCAGCCTTCCTTCCGAGGAGTGGCTGCTGGGTTGGAACTGCCAGCCTTCTGGTTAGCAGGCACATGCCTTAGGCACTACGCCCCCAGAGCTCCCCCATGCAGCCTACCACATGAGAAAGGCCTGACGGCCTGCTTCCGTAGAGATTGAGGAGCCTCCTGTGGTGCACAGTTCTGCTTGGTAGCACGTGGGGCCGCCGCAGATGGGAATCCATTCCACAGCAGCAGGTCTGGTCTGATTTGTGGCCAACCCCGAGTCTCTGGGTGGCACACACAGTTATTGTGCTTGGGTCCCATCGGGAAGGTTGGATGTTTGCCTTTGGTCTCCGCCCCCCTTCACCCACTACCGCCGTTCCCCCCCACTAACTGCCCCTCTCTCCTGCCCCAGGTGCCTGAACAGCCCTCTGGAGACCCTCTCCATCACCAACTGCGTGCTTGTGGAGTCTGACCTGGTGCACCTGTCCTTGTGCCCCAACACCGGCCAGCTGAAGGACCTGAGCCTGAGCGGTGTGAACCTGACCAGCTTGCGCACCGGGCCGCTCCGCGTGCTCCTGGAGCGGGTCTCGGCCACCCTGCAGGACCTCGACCTGGACGAGTGCGGCATCGTGGACGCCCAGTTCCGTTCCATCCTGCCCTCCCTGAGCCGCTGCTCCCAGCTGCGGACCTTCAGCTTCTGCGGGAACTTCGTCTCTGGCGACGCCCTGGAGAGCCTGCTGTGGCACACTGCCGGGCTGCCCCACATGGATCACACGCTGTACCCCGCCCCGCTGGAGACCTACGAGCATGGCACCGGGCTGCTGCACCTGGAGAGGCTGGCCCTGCTGCATGCCCGGCTGATGCGGATCCTGAGGGAGGTGGGCCGGCCGGGCAGGATCTGGTTCAGCGCCACCCTGTGCCCTCAGTGTGGTGACAGGACCTTCTACGACCCGAACCCCATCCAGTGCCCCTGCTATATGCCTGCCCAGCCGGAGGCGTGACGTGAGGGCCGCGTGTGGGCGTGCATCCCGGGCCGTCGGAAAGGGAGTCTGAATGTCTAGGGCGGGTTTGGGGCATCAGCTGTACCTGGTGGAGACGATTGTAAAGAAATGATAATAAAAGAAGTGTTTGTTGCTACGTGGTGCCCTTTCTGATGGTCTGGTCCGTCTCCCCAGGTTAAACCTCGAGTCATCAGTTACTGACAAAACCAAAAGGGGCTGAGTGTCTCAGATGTTTGAGATCCCCAGGTGGTGAGAAGCTTATGCACAAGGCCACTGTGGTAGTTAAGGTCATGTGTCAACTTGGCTGGGCCTGGTTGAGTGGCTGTGCAGCTGGATGGAGTTACTGTTCCCCGTGGTGAGCTTGGTAATCAGCTCCGTGGTGGAATCTGCTGGATCAGCTGAGTGGCTGCCTTAGGGATGTGGGCTGCTTCCTTTATGTAAAGAGAAGCTTTGAGAAGGGGCTTTGCAGCTTGTCGGCGTGCTCGGACCCAGTGTGTAGCCGAGTCTTCATTCAGCAGCCTGCCATGTTTCCTGTCAGTCTTGGGACTGTCTCTGGACTTGAGCTAGTGGCCTGCCATGTTGTTTGGTAATCTTGGGACTGTGCTATTTTATTTGCTAACCTTGGGTTTGTCAGCCTCAGCAGCCAGCAGCTGCCTGAGTTAAGCCTCCAGCTCCAGGGCAAGAGGCAGAGCTGAAGCCCAAGGTCAGGAGGCTTTCTCCCAGTCCCTAGACCTGGCACTTCGAACTCAGGCTTCTAGCCTCCTCAACTAGAATAAATCGGTGTTTGTTAAAGCCACCCATTTGTGGCGTGTCTGTTAGAGCAGCACTAGAGAACCGAGACAGCCACTAACTAACCAAAAGTTGGGGTTTCCAGCCCACCCAGCTCTGCACGTGTGGGATTGCCGGGAGTTGGAGTCGACCGGAGCGGCCTTGGTCTTTGCTTTTGGTCCGTGATTAGAAGCTCCAGGTACTGGGATGAGGTTTGGACCCAGGAGTTCACAGCATCTGTTTGTTTCCTGTCTGGGGCATCTACCACTTGCAGCTACTGCATCCACGCCAACTTCAGTGGCTGGATTTTTCGGTAGATTGCCAGTCAGAAGTGCCTCCAAGTAGACTAGGACTTCCAACCTTTCCATTTGCAGCCACGTGCTTAACTGCTAGCACCACTGGGGGGCTTTGGGGCATCTGCTACGTCCATGCTTATTTCTGAGTGGCAGGTTGCCTCCTGAGGGCCTGGGAAAACCAGGTGGCCAACAGGGAGTGCCTGTGCAGTGGCGTGCTCTTCACAGGGGCCCTCGCTGCTAAGGCCACTGAGACGGGACACAGACCCTCCTGGGTCTCCAGTGGGGGGATCTTCACAGGCCAGGCATCGGCTTCCATCACCGTCCGCAGTCGGATCCTTGCTCAGGAAGGCATTGTCCACACACAATTTACCAGAGGTGCCAGGCTCCCTGGGCCTTACCAGCCCTTCCTGTCATTTAAGCTGATCCACCCTGCTGTGTGGTGAGTTCCTGACTGTGGCCTCTCTAGCCATAGTCTAGAGCTCTGTTGGTGCAGTGGTTAAGGCATTTGACTGCCAACCAAAAGGTCGGCTGTTCAAACCCACTAGCTTCTCCACAGGAGAAAGAAGGCAGTCAGCTTCTATAAAGAAGCTCTTGGAAACCCTCTAGGGCAGTTCCAGTCTGTCCTCTAGGGGCGCTGTGGGTCAGAATCCACTCCACGGTGGTGGGTGTGGTTTGGGCTTCCCTGAAGACTGACACCCTTGGAGACCCTGTGAGGCAGTTCCACTCTGCCCTCTAGGGGCGCTGTGAGGGGATGGGCTTCTGTGAAGATTGACAGCCTTGGTGACCCTCTAGGGCAGTTCCACTGTGTCCTCTAGGGGCGCTGTGAGCCAGAATCGACTCCATGCAGTGAGTTTGGTTTTTTTAGTCATGGGGACCAGCCTTGTGCTGATCCTTTAAAAATAAATTATATGAGCACCAAACACATACAAAAAATAAACTCACTGCCATCAAGTTGGTCCCGACTCACAGCGACCCCTCCTTGAGTTTCCAAGACAGTATCTCTATGGAAGTAGATTGCCCAGTTTTCCTTCCAAGGAGTGGCTGGTAGGTTTGAACTGCCAGCCCTCTGGTTAGCAGTCAAGTGCCTTAGGCACTACGACACCCCTCTTCTCAAGTTAGACCAGTTGTGCACGGTGAGACATTTCAATTCCTTTTAGCAAAATACTGAATCATATATAACTATATAACATTTTTTCAGTTTTTGTAGATGGAGACTCATCATCTGCCTCAAGATTGTCCACTGAACAGGAGCCGTAGTGATCTAGATCCAGAGGGAGACTGTGGACATCAGGAACCAACCCTAGATTATCACAAGGGGTCCTGGCCCAGGCACCTAGGAGCGCTTGTAGCTAGATTATGTCAGGGAGAAAGAGAAGTAACAAGACAGAGGTGCGACTCAATATCTACCAAACGGTAGATGGGCCCATAAGGTAACAAGGACACCAGGGAGGAGTGTGTACTCCTTTTCTCAGGATAAAGCTCAGAAGGCAGGACAAGACAGGACAGAAGGACAGGATGGACTAAGGGAAACAGGAAACGGAGGAAGTGGGAAGAGAGTGTTGCATTGTGGGGAATTGCAGTCAATGTCACAAAAGAAAATGTGTATGAACTGCTGTATGGAAAATGAATTTGCTCTGTCAACTTTCACTCAAATCACAAGAAAAATAAGTAAAAGCCTAAAATAAAAAAAAAATAATAATACAAGATGAAGAGACAGACATGGATGAAACTTGAAGACATTATGGGAGTGAAATTAGACACAGAAAGACAAGGACCATATGATCGCATTTACATGAAATGTGGAGAATACATTGAGACCAGAATGGATTAGTTGTTACCAGGAGCTCTGGTAGCATAGGGACTAAGGCATTGACTGCTAACCAGAAGGCTGGCAATTCAAACCCACCAGCCACTCCTCAGAAGGAAAGTGGGGCAATCTACTTCCATAGTGATGTTGTTGTTGTTGTTATGTGCCATCGAGTCAGGCCTGACTCATAGCAACCCCTCCTTGGGGTTCCCAGGCAGTATCACCACGGAAGTAGATTGCCCCATCTTCCTTCCGAGGAGTGGCTGGTGAATTTGAACCGCCAGCCTTCTAGTTAGCAGTCAAGTGTCTTAGGCACTATGCTACCAGAGCTCCTTATCCATAGTGATACTGCCTCAGAAACCCAAGGAGGGGTCTCTATGACTCAGGCTGACTGGATAGCACATAACAACAACAAGAAGGACGGGTGGGAGGGGCAAGAGGGGAGGGATTGCTTAAAGGTGACTGTTGCCATTCCAAACAAAAAACCAAACCCAGTGCCAGAGTTGTACACGACTCATAGCGACCCCTCCTTGGGTTTCTGAGGCGGTATCACTACGGAAGTAGATTGCCCAACCTTCCTTCC